CCACTTCTCTTTATTTTCAGTCCCTGACCTAAAAATGTGGCATTATTGATATCGCGGAGCTTGAAAAATACGCACACAGAAAAGACTATTTTTCGAGTATTTTTGCAAAAGTAAATCTCTGCCATTTATTCTACATTAATGCTGCTTTGAAGAACCTTTCAAAGCTGAGCATGTAGTTTTTGTTTCTGCTTGCTAATCACATCCATAGGGTGTACAGAGAGACTACAGCCAGCCTGTAAAAAGTTTAAAGACTTCAGCCCTCGCTTTAAACAGAAACACCACTCAGCTCGTATAAATTACAGTGTATAGACACCATCAGTAAATGCCAGAGAGGCCATGTTAAAGTAAAGCACCCCTGACATACTTGAAGCATGAAATTCCATAGCCTTGTTGGCCTACTTTGCCACATGTAAGCAACACAACATCCATCACTTTCAAGCTTTTTTTTTTTTTTTGACTCAGCAGACACTTCTCTTTGACTTGTGCTGGGAAAAAGTCAGTTAACTACATTGTAATGTAAGCAAATTTGATCACACGCCACAAATCACAACAATCTATTCGGTTAAAAGAATGGGCTTTGCACAAACACGGCGATACACAAACCTAGATTATATAAGCAGGATAATTTAACTGTCAGTATTTATCAAAATGGTTGATGTTGGTCAGTACACAATAAGACATCCCCCTGACTTTGTGCCATCTCACAGGAAGTGTGAGTCAGAAACCGCAGCGTCCTGTTACAACTTCTAAACAAATTCCTGTTTTATCATCGTTTAAACAGATACCGCCACGGTACCTGTGCTCGAAGTTCAATCTGTCACAGCGTGGCTGCCTAACCTCGACGCCACCTCGACATCTGTTTGTTATCAATCACCGCCCTCATCAACCTGACGCTCATCATTATCAAAAGGAAGGCTTTTGAAATGCCGTCTTGAAACGCTTTCTGAAGTTTGTTTCCATCTAAGCTCATTCTCCCATGGACAAAGACCCTCCAACGCGCACAGTGAAACATACACATGAATACCTCCGAAACCACAGCTTTCTCAGCTATGGGTACTGAGAAGCAAGTGAGAAACACTTTGGGGCATGAGGCAGGCACTCATTGCCCCCATTTCAAATTACTGTGTATGAGGAATCAAACATACGACAGCAACTCGATGCATTTAGACATGCGGAAAGATTTAACTTGCTGTATACCGATGGATAGCGAACCTTTAAACAATTTAGCCATCATTTCGTAACTTCTTGACCAATTCAGGCTCAGAGGAAGTCTGGAGCCTGTCTACACTCCTGTGGAAAAGAAAGTTTTTACAAGACTTTCAGGAGTTCTGTGACCCCATGATTCATTTGCTTATAGAACTACCTTTAGCAGCAATAAATTCAAGTACCGGTACTTGTTTTCTGTATGACTTTATCAGTCTCTCACATCATTGTGGTCCAGTATTCTGGACCACAGTGTTGCTTCAGTTCATTGGGGTTTGCAAGGATTCGTTTATGTACTATTCTTTTAAGGTCCCGGCACAGCGATTCAGTTGGGTTGAGGTCTGGACTTTTACTGGGCCATTGCAATACCTCGATTATTTTCTTTTTCAGCCCTTCTCTTGTAGATTTGGTGCCGTGCTGCAGATCATTTATTCTTTGCATCATTCGATTTCAGCCAAGCTCTAAAGTACTTTGGTATACAGAGGAGTTCATAGTTCATTTTTTTTTACATTTAACATTTGATTAGGAGCACCTGGTTGCTATTTAAACTCTTAATTTTTATGAGTCAAAGATGTATTTTTTCCACATGACTGTAGCTGTCACTGGGCAAAAGGTCGGGGTACACCCATTGACAGGTTGCCAGACAAAGACAGCAATTCATGCTCACACCCACACTTAATAGCAAATTCAGAACAAGCAAATAAGCCAATGCATATTTCTTTGAACTGTAGAAGGAAAACCACAACACCCAAGAGAGAAGGCCTGAACCCAAAACATCCTTACTTCTTCTGGAAACAGTTTATGTCCTTGTTGGTACTTTCTAAATGACAATCAAAGTATTTGTTGCTCAATTAGGACACATATTAGGTTTTGATCAATGTTGACATGCCGTTCTTCAGTCTCCTAGGCTTTGACGTCCAGTGTTGACATTATCTAAACACGCCACGTCCTTTCCTATGCTTTGATCTCGTATGAAATCTGTAGCACATTTATGGCCACAGCTAATGTGCTACAGACCAGACGCAAACTCGCTGAGAGGTGAGTCACAGTATAAAGGTCGGTGAAGATTTAGAAACAAAATCTGATGCAGAATTGGTTTTGATTGGGACTAAACAGGAACTGGTATGACTTATACTTTCATTTCCGTAGTTTATAACAGAAAATTTGAATGTAATTGCACTGTTCCATGTACTAATTTGTGAGTGGTTAAACACCGGCAGTACTTGACGCATACTCTATTTCAAAGGTAAATTTTATATTCTTCCAATACGGTACTGTGCAAAGGCCCTCTGTGACGGAGTTACACCGTCCCGGGCCGCAGACAGCTGATCTGGGCGCATACACGCACCACCACCATTAGTTTCAACAATTACCGTGGCTGCGCGTCTTTTCGTCGACCGGGCAGATAAACAAAAAGGGGTGAGAGGTATATTTTGAGCGGCGCAGAGGGTGGCCAACATATTTTTCCCGCTTACCTTTAATAAAGCCGGTCGCGTAGACTCGCTGTGATCGCCGATTATACGAGTGGTTATGCAAGCCGATGGTGTGGTGTTCCGGGGTTCAAATAGTGGGTTCGCGCGCGCTTGAAAGGTCACGTGAACTGCATTATTTGAATTTCTTTATATTTTCCTAGGAATATGAGAAATCTGTGCAAACATTCATGGAAATACAGTTTATAACACTTGAAAGTCAATCTTTGGTGTGACCACCTTTATTCTTTACCATAACCTGAACTCTCTCAGCAAGCTTTGTCATAAGTAGTCGTCGGGAATAGTTGTCCAAGATTCTCAAGTGACATTCAAACTTTTTCCTTGGATGCTAAGTGTCTTTTGTTCTGTTCCATCTCAAGTTGATCCCACACTGCCTCATTAATGTTGAGATCCAAGGTCTGGAGGGGCCAATCCATGTTTTTCTATCTAGGCATGTTTTGACTGCAGTGACAGTGTATTTGCCAATCAGATGTTTTCCAGATAGTAGTGCATGGTAGATCAAAATCTGACCCATACCTTTCTGCATTCATAATTCCATCAGTTTTGACAAGATCTCCAGCAACACTGGCTGAAATGCAGCCCCAAACAATGACAGTGCATCCACCGTGTTTTACAGATGGCTGTGGATACTCACTGTTATGGTTTTGGCCTGACCTGATCTCCATTGATACTGACGATGATTTGAACCAAAAATTTAAAATTTGGATTAATTACTCCACAAGACCCCCACACACACACACACACACACACACACACACCTTTTCAGGACACAACTTTCACATGCTGTTCCTGTACATAGTTTTTTCAAGTTCCCTCAATTTTTTTAAGGACACACTGCACACCATGCTGAGATGTGTTAAGCTGTGAGATGATCGCTCTTTGGGACTTTGTTGTTACAGACAAGATACAGTCTGTGAATACTGCATTCTCGTTGTGTGCAGATAACTGAGGACTTTCGCACCCCTTGATTGAACTTTTTAGCAGTGTCTCTTACTCTGACCTGAGTCTTAATCATTTCAGGTTTTCTTTTTAGTCTTTAAAGACCAGGCCTTGCACAAAAGCACAATCTCAGTTTTACTTCATCAGAAAATGCTTACAGTCCTCAGGAAAAACAAAAACCAATGCTACAACAACAAATCTTTAACCAGACCCTTGGGGATGTTCCAGTGAACACAAAATGTGTTACAGAAGTTCTTTCTGTGTACATCTATTATGCTAAAAGGACCACAGCATTTAATTACCACAACTAAGTATTTCTGCACATATTGAACACAGGTGTATTTCTTGAGGCAAAAGTGGTTGCACCAGTTTTGTTTTTTTTTATTTTCTTTTTTATGAGTGCTCAACAAATACCTTGCATCCTAAGAAATGTTAAATGTGTGCTGTCAGGCTAATTTGCAAGGGTGCACATGCTCTTCTGTGAGCAACACTGCCAGTATTTCAGTGTGTTACCTTGTACATGCAAACACACATTCATGGTCCACTGATAAATGAGACTGCAACATGTGTTCTTAGGTAACTTTAAGACGTCTTGCTGAAAGATCATCCCTATGGCTACAATGTGATCGGTAGAGAGGATATAAGCAGTGTGTATTTGTCCTTGTGATGCAAAGAGGCCTCAACACATGGGGAATGGTGAATCTCCAGCTGCTCCCAATTCTCCCTCATGGGTGTTTTCTGGCAAAGGGTACAGACGGCATGCTAATGTGTATAGCCTCTTGGTTGTGTGCGTGCACGTGTTTCTGTCTTGTCAATGTCTCTACATTGTAGCATGTGTGACATCTGCAGGAAATGAGACCCACTCTCCTATAGTTGATGAAGACAAAGGGACTGACACTTTCTATAGGCTCGCCGAAGCCAAAATGTTGGAGAACATCCAAACTCTTTTTAAAACTTTTTTCCTAAATGGGTGACAATGATAGATCGCCCTGAACCGGCGCAGCGTCTTGTGAGTAATCTGGAGCAGGGCAACGAAGAGAAAAGGGAAAGCTGGTGCCTCAAAGACAAAGCGCTTGAGCATATGGCAGCAATATAGCACAAACAATAACGCACATATATCCTATGTGCATGGCACAGTTCTTTAAGATATGGAGATTTTTCCTCAACAATAGCCTAAAACCACACAGACATGCACAAGTGCTTCGCCACAAATAAATGCGGTTTCAGCTGGGAACGCTACGAGATTTTTCCGATGTGGAATTGTGGAAGACCCCACACGTAACAAAAGCTTTCCCACTGCACTCTTACTTGAGCTCACACATTATATACAAAGTAAGATGTCCATCCAGCTCACATTATCTTGCAAGACTTTGACTCTTTATTTACTACAATGCACAGATTAAATACAAAGGGACAAGATTACAAAACCGCCCAAAACCATGGCTGTAAAACCATAATGAGAAGATTAATTGAAGAGTAAAGTGAATTTGATGTGTGTATAATCAGCAGGCACTGTTTGTGCTCATCTGTTACAGTAAGTAGCCGAGCAGTGTTTAGTTCTCACGGGTATCAGAGTTTGCAACTCAATCAGTGGTTAACGCACAAAGAGACCTGCAGTTTACATCAAATGTGTTAGTTCCAACTTGGCAGATTTCTGAGGTCCTGTCAAAACAATCTTTTCAAAGACTAGAAGTGAGTCAGGTAGGAGTATCTACTGATGTGTGAGAATGCCACTCTGAACATATGGCAAAACCTAAAGGCTTCAGTCGGGTCAACACTAAGTTGTGCAAGTTTGCATCTCTTCAAATGATAAATCTTTGTCTCCCTCTAGTGGATTTTTTTTTACTTTTACCTAAGCTTACGTTTTTCTTGGATATATGCATATGGTGTAATTAAAACATATGCTGCAAAAATGATAGATTTCTCTGGGATGAACGTATGATTCTGGTCTAGATAAATAACAAATTACTAATTAATCACATCAACTAACACAAAGCTGGAATCACAGCATCATAGGCCTCTGTCCAAACAGTGTTAATATTACCCTTTCATGAATACAACACAGTTGTTTAAATGCAACATTTAAACATTTATTTTTGAGTTCTAGAGCCACATTTCAAAGAAAACAGTCAGTAGTTGAAGCACGTGCCAGTGTCATATCATCAACAACCAGTTACATATATAAGCATCCAAAATTTAAATCAGGAAAACAACATACCAGTGGGGGGAAAAAGTTTATGAAATATTGAAATCTTCAGGATTTGTCCTTTAATTTCTCATCTTCACTTTTAGACAAGGATAATTGAATTTACTTAAAGTGCTACGGTAAATACCTCTTCTCCTGACTTGTCCAAAAGTTACTTGGAGTCAGGTGTTTTAGTTAAGGACATGAGAAAAGAAGTGTTAGTTCCAGACACGCCACTCCTTTAATTTTTGACAACTTTCAACAAACCTTGGAGGGTAGAAAAAAGACATTATGATTCATACAGTAGAAAGAGCCTATAAAATAATTTCTCAACACCAGCTGGATAATCCACAACAGACAGGTGAAATGATAGTTGAATTTTTTGGGAGAGACGGCACGACAAAAAGAAAAAAGGCGCACAACAACAACACCAGAACTTATTTCCAGCTGTTATGCATCATAATGGAGGCAGCAGCCCATAACCTGAGCATAGGAAAAGTTGGGTAATACCAAAAGCGCATAAATAAATCACTCAAAAAAATCTCAAAAAATGAATGAAATTCAGGTTATGGGATGGTGAGGTCAGATTTATGGCCTTAATCTAATTGACATGCTGTCTCATGACCTGAAGACAGCTGTTAAGTCAAGCTGTTCCAGAAGTACCAACGATGGCCCAAGATTAAATTTCACCGTTGTTCAAATTGTCATGAACATGAATAAAACATGTGCCGGAGCTGTATAATATTATATTACAAAATATATTTTCTGGTGAACGGTTAGTCAATATGTTTAATATTCTATATACCTGAAGAGTAATATGTGGCAGAGTCGTTTAGAGAGCAATTACTGCTCTCCTTCTCATGCTGATCCAGTGTGCGTGGTGTGAGCAATCACAGAAGACGGAGGTTCAGAAGACAATGAGATTTGTGTGTTATTGTAATGAAGTTGAGTTCAGGCAAATACCTGCAAGCACTCAGTAAAAGGTCCACACAGCGTGTATAAAAAGTTCAGTCTGTCCTCAAGCTGTTGTTCATACAGAGAATGCATGAAAAGCTGGGACTATTTTTACATAACTGTTTGTCCATTATTAGTCTTGTCAAATTGTCTTGGCCTATAGCTATGACTGGAATAGCTGAAACCAGTTTAAGAATATTAATTGTGAAAGTCTAGTTATTCCAAAAGGTTTTCTCAAATCCTGCAAGGTCTCTTTACAGAAGGTGGAGTGCTGAGAATGGCGTCATATTTTGGTAGAAGATTTAAATAGCCTGAAATAGAGACAGCCATTTCCCACTGTTTAGCAACTAAAACACCTATATTATGGTGGCTATATAACAAAGACAAGAAAAAAAAATAGGGTAGCAAGGCATATAATAGGCAGCAAAAACAGGAAGAACCGTATTCAATTTGATTCACAGATCACTCATATTCATCACTGTAAAGCCACTGGGGGGGATTGGCGTCTGAAGTGAGGAACGCCATATAAAAACCAAAAACAATCAGCAATATTAATTAATATATAATTAATATTAATATCAGCAGTATTAAAAGCTTAAAGTTAACAAAAGATGAACAGTTACATTTACCATCCTCAAATCAAGTTACCTATGCTGACCACTAGATGGAGCTCTAAATTCAGAGATTTAGCAGCGTTTACAGAAAATTATCACTTTCTTAAATGGAATAAAATTGTTTTTTCTTCTTTGTAGCCTTACATATGAGCATTATTGATACTGCAAAGTTTATTTTGATTACCATCAATCAGTCAACGTGTTAGAATTAAAGACAAAGCTACAAATATAAACATGACTCCGTTCATTTGCTGCGGTTTATCACAGTGTATTGACAGCTCACTTTCAAGACTTCAGGCACTGAATTTATACATAATTATTTACCAGTAGAATTATGTAAGAGGCACATTGTGTTTACAAAAGACAGAAACACACACATAACTTTCTCTCTTTTTACTCAGTGCTCTTACTCAGCCTATTCGACTTGGAATTATCGAAACACTCCTATATAAATCTCCTAATTAAAAACAATTAAATTTGCGCCCTCATGAGTTGCATAGAATACCGCACAACTTAAGTCTTTCCCTTTTTTTTGTCATGTTCAAATTAAAGCATGCAAAAACATCCAGCCTAGACCAGGTAACAGAAACTCATGAGCCTGAGTTTCTATCGTGTGTGTCCAACGCTTAGATCATCAGATCACAATGCAGGGATTTAAAGTTTGGTTAGGTGTCAGCAGGTCATGCTCCATCTGTTGAAGGTGGTGTGCAGGGGTCACGTTGTGCTCAGTAAGGGTCCATCTTGATCCTTCTGTACAAGCAGCAGGTGAACACCATTCCACATATCTAAAAACAGGAAGTGTTAGGTCACAGAGTGCAGCTTAGTCGCCATGGAAAACTGCAGGAAGCTTGAATGCTACCGACTGTGGGGCAGAGAAGGTTTAAAGGTGAAGGAGTTAGAGACTGCTGGAAAGTATGAAGCTGGTTACTAGGTGGTGTCAGGAGTCAAGCAGCCAATATTGCACCAAAACGTGTGCGCACAGACATCCATAAACCAACTATATAAAGCTGGGTAAAGTGAAAAAGCAGATTAATGCTCTTACATCTCAATATACCGTTTTTCCTCTTTGCAAAAGCTCTGGGGACCTTTTTATTTTACTCAGACACACAAAACAAACAGATTACCCCCAAAATTGTTTTGTGTACTTATTTATTTACTCATTTATCGTCTCCCTGTCTCTGCTTGGTTCAGCTGGTTGTGTTCTTATTGAGTTACAAACTAATGTGTTGTGAACAGGGAATTTGTAGACTGTCCCGTGCTGGAGAAACTATGCAATATCAGTCATAACATGGTTGAAGGGTGTTTCTCTCGTATCTTCTTTAGATTTTAAACTTTCATTTATCGGCTAATATAAATGTCGAAACCAATAAATGTCTATACTGACCAGTAATATTAGTCCCAAAATAAATTTAAATAATAATAATAATAAATAAAAGGCTTCCAAAAATATCACTATAATAAGGGAAAACAGACCACAACAATTGTGCTAGTATTTTAAATGAAGCTTTTTACATTTAGAAATTTGCTGTCATATCTGACATCAGTGTAAACACAGAGCTGTATGAAGAACAGAGATGCACAGACATTGTCACTGGTGACTGCTACTGGCCTATCAGCAAACTAGACATTATATCGATTACGTGCATTATATCTTAAATATTCAAACATGGCATAATGAAGCATATCTGTATCTTTTATCAGCTGAACTGTTATAAACAACCTTCTCAGCATAGAATTTCACCAGCAGCGAATTCCTAATAAGGAATGAGCATGTCTAAAATTACTACTACGCAACACCGAGCAAAAAGTCTAAAAACAAAGCAGAATAAGTGAAGCAGGAGCTGACCAAAGCCGCTGGGTCTACAAGCTTGATGGCCAAATAGGCAAGTGTCCAGATTCCATTTCTGTGCCTCTAAAAGCTTCCAGGGGAAGCCTGATCAAGGAAGTCAGAATTTAATATTGACTCATAATTTCTCCTCGAGCAAGGTTTTGTTTTCCTCTCTCTTCTCAACCATCAGTGACAGTTCTGCACAAGGATAGAAGATGCAGTCATTTTGGCTGAGGGAACATAAGGTGAGAAAAAAAAAAAAAGCAAAAAAAGCCACACTTTTTTTTTTCTTGAGGCCTAATTTCAGAAGACGCTAAAAAACAATGATGTAACAGTGTTAAAAAGTAAACTCATTAGGGACAGAAACATGCCATCTCGTGGGATGGCAAAAACACATATCTGGGCACCCCCAAACAACTCCGAGTCCCTATTCAATGATGTTCATGAAAGCCCAGGCTATTTTAGATTGCAAGTAACTATAGCAACAACACTAATGCTTTTTTTTTTTCTGAGTGGTAATGTAATAGAAGGTGTCAGCATATTAAATAAATAGGTGTAATAAGTGCAGCAGCTACTCTGTAAATTTTTGTAATTTTTAAAAAGAGTCTATTAAAAGTAAGCATGTTAATTATTTCTGCGATTAACTGTTGTAAATATTAGATTAAGTTTGTATTGTTGTATACCACATACTCCCCGACACCCATAGTGAAGCCTCATTAAGGTTTGGATTCAAGGGATATACAGCAAAACACTGCTACATGCTGTAAATACACCTGTCCCTATGGTGTTTTCCCCACTTCTTGTCAGCGCAGGTGCTACATTGATGGAAGCGTTGCTGCACGAATTATAGATCATGACACTATGAACCAAAGCACAGTGAAAAAGCAAGTGAGTCGTGCTATCCTCAGGATGCATTTGAATAAGCTGTCACATCCTCATCACCCACAGCAACACATCATCACAAAATGCATAGCAACAAACTGGAAAACGCAGCCAAATGCAAAGTCGCTGCATGCTTCACGACGAATTAAACATGTTAATCCAGTAAACATGCAGACAGCAGGTCTCGCATTTAACACAAAACAGGAAGCCACGCAAGGACAAATAGGCAGTCAAATATGAAATATCTACAGTGCCCTCCAACCTTGCCTCTCGATTAGATTAAACCAGCAGCGCTCTAGAGCCAAATTACAATGCACCAAAGTCCTCTTCCTCTTCTTTATAGAGCAGATAGATAAAGCAGGCTGTCAAGAGTGCCCCGACCAACTATAGTGATAACAAACACACACAGAGTACAACACACCAAAGACAGATTAGTGCGCACCGACATTAAGACAGACTGAACATTTAACAAAGAGGAGACATAACGTTGGCCTACATTATGAAAAAATGCTAATATGTGAGTGAGAAGTGACAAAATTATACCGTGTACGTCATGTATTCAATATATTCACAATATTTTCAGCACCTCATTTAAATGCTGGACAAAGTCCCTTCAGATCATTTGGTTCTTGTGAGAAAGTCTTTATATTATAGCCACTGCTAATGGAGACTCTGCTTAAATTCCTTTTACCAATAGCGGTGAGCATCACAGAGACTGCACGGTTGGTCATCTCATCTTTTGCTTTTTGCAGTCTTTATAATTATGGCAGTGAAATCCTGGCTTCATGTCTTTATTCTCAGTCCCCTGGTGCCCAATTAAAACTGAGCTGTATGTAAAGTGGTGGACTTGTCAGCCTTACAAACCACTGGAAACAATAAGTGGAAATTTGTTTAGTTCTAGGTTGACCTCAAGTTAATTTAAATGTGGTTTGCAGCTACAGTAAGACAGTTTGGTTAGCTGGTAGAAAAGTGCAAAAAGGTGACTAAATTGAATAGGTAGAAGGACCAAACTCATATAATGATGACAGAAAGAATCGGATGAGATGAAAAGACGTGTCCATTTAGAGGATCCTGAGCTGCCAGGGTACATTCAGTAATAGGAGTTTTTTTTTTTCTTTTAATTCAACAAAGGGCAGCATTCCACTCACAAAAGCTAAAAGCAGTTTCTCATTTCTGATAACAACTGGGCTTGTATAAAGCACTGTATGCTCAGGGAGAAGGCAGTAGAAATGCATCCTGCTTCTTCACCAACCATCTGAACTGGGTGTATATATTACTTACCTGCAGACAGGCCACTCCTATCCCCACTGCACCAATTACCAACAGGTGATCTGCAAGGAACTTTTCCAGCTTAGTGATGCAGCCACCCTACAGAGTTAAAATTTACACTAGATTATCAGTTAGACAAGAAAGCTTTGTCTGCATTTCTGCATAGCTATAGTTTAAACTGCTTCAGCAAGCAACAAGACATCCTTCAGAAGTTGTGTGGTTTTACTGAATCTGGGATGTTCTTGATTATTTAAGTACATTTTCAGTCCCTCTTTACTCCCTCATCACCCGACAGGCGTATTTACAGGGCTCAAAACACTCACAGTAAAATCATCCCAAACCAACAAGTAAGCATAGATACAGTCATCATCCACAAACCATTTTATTTAAATTCTCAGGATGTGTCTTCATGCTTATGCCTTTGCACATGATGCAGGTAGCACATTGTGAAGGATAAGAAGAAACTGAGTGATTTGACACGAGAAGGCGGAAGAGCCTCTCCTGTGCAGCGTGGATAAGCATTCAAAACCTCATCTTTTATTCATTTTTCTTAGAGCTCATTCTATCAGAAGAAAGTTTTAAACTCGTGTTTTTGCTGGCATTTTTTTGTGAGTCACTGTTTAATTTCAGGGCTGCACAGAGCTGCACTGCCTGGCACTGTTGCCTCAACGCAAGCAGGTTCCTGGTTCAAATCTCTTACTCAGCTCGGGCATTTCTGTGCATGTTTAGCCTGTGACTTTCCTCTAGGTTCCACAGCTTCCTCCCAAAAACAATTGGGAGGTTAGCAAAAATAATGCCCACAGATCTGACAGCATGAACAGAGGTTTATCTCTGCCTTTTGCCCTATGTCGACCTTGCAACCCAGCAGCAGTTAGGAAAGTAGATGGATGCTTTTCATTTCAGGAAATGAAATATCAGCCTCAGATATTTGAAAATGGTTTGGCTACAACAGACCAGAAGTGAATAAAACACCAGTTTAATTTCTTCAAATATGGCATGAACCAGAAAAAAAAACAAAAAAACAATGGACTGTGAAGATGAGCAATCACCCTGAACAACTGGATAACACTGATTTCCTTTGATTACTGCCTACACATAGTTATTAGTATACTGAGTGCTTCCATCTCTTTTTTCTGTCTTTAGGCTATCATCACTCATCTTTGATTGCAAAAGCACTCAGTTGATATTTATAACTCAAGTCAGGGATATAGCCAGGTTGCAACACATTTCACAAAACTGTACAAAAGATTATTGTAAGATATAGAGCCTGCAGGAGGCTCTGCCCAACAGACAGGCTGAATAAGCCTGCTGTCATTTTGCCAGAAGCATTTATTGCACTGACCTCCACTTTGTAGATGTTGGAGGGGTGGTCCCTCTTTCCACAGTGAGGTGTGATGGTCTTACAGCAGCTGTCAGGTACCGCCCTGCCTTCTGCTTGCCCTGACACAAGGTACTTGCTCACAGTCCAATCATGAGAGTTGTTGCTGCCACAGCATTTGAACTGGAGAGGCAGAAAAAGGAAAGCCCAGACTTTAGTTCCACAGTGTGAGGCCATATCCCTCATTCTGATTAAAATATGGTTTCATGTATCATCTAGTGTAAACAAATTCCTAACATCAAGCCACTATATGAGTATATTTTCACAGCAGTAATTTTCCTCTCAGGGACTACTTTCGCTCCGGCTGTTCCACTTGTCATCTTTGGAACAATGCTCTGTCTAAACCCAGATAGAATACACAGAGTGAGGAGCCATTTCTTCTTCTACTACACGTCAGCATAATTTTCAGCTTCATATATCAAATTAATTTATAACAAGTACAAGTATACTTAACCATGCATGCTGAAGAGGGTGAAATACAATCTTACAGAAACTTGACACCAGATGAGTTTATAAATATATTTCATACATCCTGTTGTAGATTGTCAACCGCAAATGTGACTGCCTCCTTTCCTGGCTGAGCGTAGTTCTCTGTCATAGTGTGGTTGAGATGCTGCTTCAGCTCCTCACTCAGCTGGAAATGAGGAACAAAGAGAGAGACAGCAGGCATACACAGTGAGAAACAGTGTGTTTGAAACAGAGAAGGTGGGAAGGCTGGAGGGGTGGGTTGGGGGGGATTATTTTGGGGTAAAAACAAATGTTTTTGTGGTAACCCCCCCCACGGGCTGCTTAATTTATGATTGCGCGTGCGATGTCTACAAAGAAGGGCATTGAAAAAAGTGATACGTAGGTGCAAATAGTGTGGAGGTGAGGGAGAGGATAAGGGGATGATAGATTGGTAGCATTGGGGAGTGCTGTGACGCAGAAGACAGATAAACAAGACACTAAAAAAATTGACTAGAAATACAGCCTTTGATGTCTGGATATATTTTCTCACACTCACACACAGTGCAGGAAACAATGCAAATCGTTATCTTTAAAGTGATTCTATCCCGTACTGAACCCTCTTCCATCACAATAAATCCGGTCAAAGATTACAAGATGCCCTATGCAGCCCTCACTGACTGAAGCTGACTGACAGCCAGATGTTTGGGCGATAACTAAACGCCAAGAATATCTAAATGTGTTAGATACACTTCAGAGAGTCAGGTCCTCAGAGGAGGATCACTGAGGATGCTGCTTTAGAAAGCCTTTATTCCTGCTTGGTTCCACACTCTTACTCGAATGTTCCCTTCTGATTTTTACAATACTGATGTCACTGTATTTTCTTTTATGATAATTGTTTTTAATGAATAATTTATCAATTATTTATAACTTATTATATTATTAGTCTCTTGATTCACAAAAAGCACAGCTTAATTCATTCTTAAATAATAGGCAGCCGTCATCTACAGTAATCTAACATCACCCTGTTGATCCTGTAACTGCAATATATAAATGAATTAAAGGATCATCACTGCAGCTGACGTCTGAGCTGATATAAGTGAAAAGACCTGACGGGAGAAGTTTGCCTTCAGGGCTTTCTTGTAGATATATGTTCTGACATGTGGTTAATGTTGTACAACAAACCATTTTGACCCTCTTTCACAAAATTTACCCAAGTAGTTTAACCAACTTAACCAGGTTTTGTTGCCTAAAGACTGAAAATTACTTCTTTCTTTCTTCCCATCCGCCAGTCAATCATAGGGCAGGTTTTACAACCGTACCGCTCTGAGAATGCCCCATTCTATCTGATCTCAGAAATTAAGAAGGGTTCAAGGTTGATGAGTACCTGAATAAGAGACTTTCTGAGAACACCAAGTGTTTTATTATAATTATTACCTTTAAAAAAATCATCTTTGTTTGTTTTTTTAAGTGTTCTTTGACACTCTACCACATTTCCATGCTTTAGTTTTATTAAATGCTGCAAAGGGTCATTTTAGACCGCTAGTAGGTAGCCATCAAGCAATATAATGACTTTATAATGTATAATGCATTATTAAAGTTTTGTGGATGTAATCATCATGAAAGACTTTGTGAATATAAATGAAATAATGATAACAAATCATCAAATAATAATGACTACATAATAATATCCAATGCAGGTGAGATGTACCCATGTGCAAATTCTGTCCGTTTAACTCCATGTAGGTGTAGGAAGAGTCAGCAAATAAACAGATTTTGTGAATTACAGTTTAATTCACCATGATCTCTTGCCTATGAGCCTTTGTTTTTTGGCTTTTACTACTAATTTTTCCCCTATGTTACCTTTCCCAGTCACATGTTGTCACCACAACAGCCTGACTGGTAATCTGTAATTTTTGCTTCAGCACAGGACAATCTAATACTAGCAGCAGCCTAACTGCACACTAACAAAATGCAGCTTAGTCAAAGGTGAGCCTGAAAGATGTTTCAAATGCCAAGCAAGGGCTCAAAAAAGAAAAAAAAAATGTTCTGTTTATTTTTAGCCTGTGCCCCGTTTCCTTACTGACATCTTGACATCTGAGTGTTCAAACTTTTCTTGCAGAACTTTATCTGCTTTGCAAAACGCCTGCTCTTTGATATATACCAAGAAGGGGAAAAAAAAAATCATAATATGTATAACTCAAACCCAAAACATGATTATGATTATGATTAACATCCAGTAAATCAAAAACGATTCCTATATCTAGTAGTCTCTCTGCTATCCCATCTGTAGTGTATTAATATGAGAAACGCCCCAACACACTAGTTTGAATATCGTCATCTGGATAGAAGTTTTTTTTAAGCCCATTTTCCCACGTGCCTGCAGGCATAGATAAGCTGCTGCAGTTATTTCAACAAGGATAAACTGCAGCTTGGCTCATCACTGCAGAACGTCACTCAGCTAAACCAGTAAAAAGTGACCACTTACCCTCTGGTAGTATACATAAGCTAGTACTCCGGCCACAAGTTCGATCAAGAAGATAAACAGGAGGCAGATGAAATACTGTGGATGAGAGACAGGACAGAAAGAGAGAGCAAAAAAGAATTTCAGTACATATGACTGAACACTCATTAGCTCAGTAGTCGCCTGAAGTATCTGGTTGCTAACTCAAGTTGCTCACGCTTGTGATGGCTCAATATAAACTTTCATCAACTGTCACCGCACTGCATCTGTCACTTCAAACGCAGATGGCAGTCCTGCATGAAATGAGACAACCAGAAAGCAATTTGACAGGCTGCAGAAACCCATTTCTCCTGGGCATCTTTACAGAGCTCCCCACATTACTAGAATAAAGTTTCACTATTTATCATAACTGATGTCTGAAATGATCTTAGAAAAAACAAAACAGTATTAGCACAGTATTCGAGCGTCATCCTCAAATATTATTATTTGATGTTGGTGTTCGCTTAGTATTTGAGCGCTACTCTCAAATACTGTGTTTAGTTTTCCTCTGCAAGAATTAAAAAGAATCAGACATGAGATGGGTGCTGAGGCAAAAAATCAAAAATGAGAATAACAGAGGCTTTAACTGTAAGCGTCATTCTTAATGGCAAGCACTGTTGTATGTACTGTTATGCAAACAGTGTGACGAACCGATTGCCCACACAGGGAGTACTTTGATAGACTGCTGCAAAATGAGCAGATCAAAACTTCAGCTTTCCCACACTTAAATAACCCAACTTTTTTATTGCTCATCAGATGGTTTGTACACCCATCAAAACATGGCTCATTCCACATAATTCAAGTCCATATACAAACAGACACACAAACACGCACCTAACGGGGACCAGCTGTCACAGAGCGGGGAAAACAACAGCGTAACTCAGAACCATTATGGAGACACAGATGCTATTGCACAACCCGGTAGATGCACCAAACAAAGTGATTGAAAACTATTGGTAACAAACAGCTGTAAGGAAGAAATATTTAACACAAGCACAAACAGATGTTCTTTTTTGTTTTGCAGCTATCGCAGTAATGATGCTGAGCAGAAACCCAGCCTGCTCTGCGTCTCTCTTGGTTACAAGATTGCGAAAAAAGCACTTCAGTCTCTGTGTGCCTGCTACCCACACAAAATGCCAACTTCACACTTCTCTATGCACACAACACTTACTGTACATGCTAGCATCACTCATTATTCTTCCCAAACAAATCTATAAATAGCACAAAAAAAAAAAAAACAGTTGAACCAAACTGCACCGCAGATTCCGTTTCCTCTGCGCATCTACCTCTCCACTCCTGCAAGGCCCTTTTTCTCTCCATCCATCACCAGTAGATAGACAAACCTATAAATAGCCCTGCGGCAGAGAACGTTCACCTCCCGCCTCCTTCTCTCCCACTGGGTCCTGTCTCTGTAAAATAATGAGGACAGCGAGGGCCCCGTTAGAGTCATTCGTCAACATCTAGCGATAGACCTTAGACCAGGCTTAGCATGGATGAGCGCCATCGCATGTTGCCACATTTGTGTACATGTGGGCGAGCATCTAGCTTCTCACAGTGGACAATCTAGAACCACGGACCAGTAGACTATCAGGGCTGTTATTACATAACTTATTATTTATCTTCTGCAGTGTTTCCCCATTCAGTTACATTCTATTTATGCCAGCGTGGGACTGCTGTGCTCAACGAGGAGGCAAGCACACCCATGCTTTCTTAAGTGAATTATTCTATTCTCGTTCACCAGACAGAGTCCGAATCAGTCGTCTTGGACTGTAAGAGTGTTTTCCATCTCTGCAACCTTGGCGTAATGACATATAAAGCCAGTGTGACCACAACACAAGAGACTGTTAAGCTGCTGAATAATGAAGAGGGATGCCAAAAAAAAAAAAAATGGCCCAAACTGCCTACAAGAAAGGAAAACGTGATGGGAAATGCAAGGGCTAGCTGGGTAAGTGGAAGTGACCTTTCAACATAAAAATATAGCAAATATGGACTCGCCGTCTTGGATGGATGACAAATTAAGACAAAAATGCTCAAACTCTACATTAATAAGTATTATTAAACTGATTTTTTAGGTTTTCCAGATGCTCTTTAGTCAAATCACAGCAAAATTACTGTCCATGTACACTTTCACGCCCTGCACTGACCATCTGCACTTTGACCTCTTATATTACAGCAAAAATACCCTTGAAAAAAAAAAATGAAAAAAAATATGATTAACTCTCTCATGCTCATTCTAAAAAAAACTACACTCCTCTAAACCTTTAAATGACAAACTGGTAACTGTTCCAAAAGCATGAGTGTTTGCCATCAAAATATATTTTTTGTAAGTTCTGAGTTATGATCTACGTGCGGGTTAATTTTAAGCACAGACTCTACATTGAATCCCAAGTGTAAGCCTAACCCACACCTTTACAGCTACAAACAAATGCCTGGACCTAAGCGGAAACCCCCATCCATCACTCTCTCGTCTCTCACCGTGGACAGACAGCTTCTCTGCTCCCGGATGACTGCACAACAGCCCAAAAAGCCTGTAACTACCACCAGGCTGCCAGCCAAGATGAGGATGTATGCTGACACAGCAAAAGTGCTGGAGGCCAATAGGCTCAAGTAGTCGCTCTTCGCCACCAGTGTCCAGACGCCCACACCAAGAACAGCAGCTCCGCCCATCTGGAGAAGAATTAAGAGAAGCAGAGAAAAAGTAACAGGATTAAAAAGACATCTGAACAAAAACATAAATAAAAATGTTTAGTGCAGCACGAAGTGTCATACTACAGAGACAAAAAAACGCACGAGATACGAAATGTAACTGAATTTAACTAAGTGTACCATGTCAGTTTATTATTAAAGAATAGCAAAACACAAGTACTGTAACATTCAAGCGAAACATTTTTCAGGGCAGGAAGTGATCAATTTAAAGTGAACTCAAAGCTTTTAGATGAGTCACTTAGAAAAAGAAAAGGAAATGGAACAGAGGAAGAGGGCATAAAGGAGGCAAGAAAAAAAAAGAGGAAACAGAATGAGAAACAGAGAAAAGTGGCCATGCGTAACAACTAACAGGAGTGGTGAGACGTCTGCAATCAAGCCAGGGCATAATGACCACTTACTTAGAAACAATACAGAGTAACTGATCCAGGGTGGTTTCCTGATCTCTTTTTCTCATCTTGCGAGTTTCAAAGGAGGGCAAATAGGAAATGCCTGAGAGAGTCTTTCTTCATCCTCCCATCCCTTTCCTTTAGAAGGAAGGACCTCTTACTCACAACACCACATATCCAACCGAGGACCAACCAGTGGGAAATCACCCTTCTCTAACACTGTAAAGACATTTCTTCTAACAATTAAGTTCCACTGAATTACATTTTTTTTAAGTTGGCTATCACTTTTCTGAATGTAGTTCCCAATACTGTTCTCATATCTCTGTACTATCACTGCTCAAAATAAAATTACCGCCTTAGTGAAGCTGCACTTTACATCCATGTCTATCCAGACTTAACCTTAAACATCTTACGTAACTTGAAATGTTGGCAAGAAATGTTTTACCGCAAAAATCTAATCAGTTCATTCTTGAGTCCAAGTGGAAATCTTCGCCAGGTTTGAAGAAAGCAGAAAGCTGAAAGCACAATCACACCATCCTCAGCTGTAACTGACAAGGAGGAGGCAGAGTAAAATAGCAGTACAAGCATCAGGTTGTGGTTCACGCGATCATGTGAGGGGATCACAGAGTAGCTATTTGCCGATATATCAGTACCGGCGTTTGTAGCAGTCAATAGATGATAATTAAACAAGAAAAGCAGAGACAGGAGGAACAACCTTCACCCATGTTGAGTATGGATGCTACATAGTTTCACCATCAGAGTGTACTTGTCCACCAGACAGCGTAAATTAATAATCTAAGATTATGTCAATAAATCAAGATTATTTTTAAACTGCATTAGTATATTATCTTAGTAAGGACTCATAAATAACTGTACCTAACATGTGTGAGGGAAACCAGTTCATGTTTACCATTTTTGAAAGAAAAAAAAAAAATATCGGCTGATATATAAAAGATTTAAAAATCACCAAATATCGTTATCGGTCCTAAATATCCTATATCAGAAAGGCTTGACACACTGAATTAGTAATATGTCCATATATAATAAATAACATGTAAAAAAAATCAATTGAAAAAGTCTCTGGCAAGTCAAATTTGGAGGGGAAGGGGAAACACTACGATATACTGCCAAATCTATATTTCATTCTACCCTCAATTAACCAAACAATCATGCTTTAACCGGGCATTAATCACATCAGATGGATTATTTTCTGAGCACATGTCAAACGTTACTTTATGAAATTTTGCTTTAACTAATGATATCTGTGTTTTTGATGACTGCCAATAACAGCGCTGTGAAAAACAGGGACAAATGAGAAATCCCTAGATGTTGCACTCTCTTTTAAAAGTAATGTGCTAAGAAAGCGAAAAACAGAAATGGCCAATGCCAGTTCATCCTCACAGAGTATGCACTGCTCCCCCGCCTGTGATTAATTTGTGTAGGGGGTGGACAAAAATGCCCTCTTAAAAAAAAAGTGTTGCGAGATAGAGGACAGCCTTCAGAGGAAAATGATACTATTTTTCCTCAAGAGACTGGTTGTTAGGTGGCGACAGGGAATTTAATAGAGGCCTAAAGCTAAAGCTTGATCCCTTTTCTCTTTCTAACCTCTCCCACTTACGGATCTGTCTCTCGCTCCTCAAAATCTTCTTTTTTGACTCTGTAAGCCCGAAGACTCTGCACTGATGCTGTAGGAGAGCGGAGCTTTAGCAGCATAAAGTGTGGTGCCAGAGAGCAGGTTTGATACACTGTGTGGCCAGAATACACTGACAAGCCCTAAATAATCTATGACTCACTTTGAACTCAGTCCATAGCTTAGCCTAGGAAGACTGAAAACTTTCCTTAATCCTCTTCCTGTTTCTATGCGGCTCTGTATGAGCAATGTCTCTAAAAAAGCAGTTTTAAAGGAACACAGACAGTTTTACAGAGTTGCTACTGATGTTGTCAATGACGATCCAATTCACCAGGAGGTTAAATGTAAAGCTCGGTTATTGTGGTGAGGTCTCTGTGAGTACATATTACTTGAAATGAGGATTACTAGCCACTTACCCAGAAGAGAAAGTTGAAAACAAAGAGCAGGTACTTGAGGCACACGGTCACCCAGTCGTTCTGGTCATCTTTATAACCCACCGACATCTTTTTGTCTTCAGTTGAATTCTATAAGTGCAGATTTGTTTGTTGGAAACATTACATTTTCCTGCAAAGTACTGCTAAAAAATGTATCACAATAAAAAAAACTCTTACTATAGTTTTCTTTAGATGTGTTTTTAGCATTTACATTCCTTTCTTTACCCAAAAATAGCTAAACAAGTATTGTTCACACATTTACACTTATCCAGCTGTACATAACTCCCATGTCCCAGACTTCTCACTGCACGACATATTACTAGTTGTTTAGTGATGCAGCGTCCAAGGCCCCAATATAACATGCTTTTGTTATATCACAAACCACATCTTTGAATGATCACTAGGACATGTCCCTATGAATCATTAATTGAGCTTATAGTCTTGGCCCTGTAAATAAAAGGCCGTGGGTGTGGAAAGCACTTAGACCTATACAATTGATCTAAATAGCATCCTTCAGCAGACAGAGCATAAAAGAAAATGGTGCAGCTTTTCTGTCTGCCGGCCCAGGAATAATACACATATCGCTGTAGGTGTAGATCTGAGAGGAAAAGTGATGAATAAATCATTTGTTGGGGATGAAAATGAATAAGGTAAACACACAAGCTAGTAAGCTTGCTAAAGGGTCAGCTTGTCTACAAAGGAAGAAGGAAAACAAAAGGAAAAATTGTCTCTCCATGCATGAAATTTTCCACTTCATTCAGGCTTTGAGATATTCCATCTACCTTCACTCATAAACAATAAATGGGAATGGGGTGTCATCTGAAATATCTACAGCATTTTCTACAATACTTCAGTTATCTCTTGATAATTTACCTTAATTGCCTTGTTTTTAGATTTTATCTGACATGTTGTGGAGCAACAATGCTGCAACAATGCTCTCTCTCTAAAGCATTTGTGACTAATATGAAGAACAGAAAAGGGAGACTAAAAACTGACGAAAAAAGCATGTGTCTATAAATAGCAGTGAATCAAGTTTTATTTTGAAGTTTCAATAAGCTACCTTCAATAAGTTACCTTGCAGATTTTGTTTTTAATAATTCATTTAAATGTATTAATAAATTATTCTATAGACTATTTGCTTCTCAGCAACATAACAAGGAAATTATATACTGCTGAGTTGCTGAGTCAATAACTATTATTGATCAACATAATGTATATGCTTCTGAAATGGGTCCATTGTATAGAAGGTGAGAGGAGGTTCCAGATCTGATAAGTAAACCCAGTGCATGTATTATTACTATTCTTTCTTTTTATTTAATTGTTTTTTCGGCCAGTAGGGGGCGACTGTGGCTGTATAAAGACAAGGTTCGTGGAAAATAAACCACTCTTTCAATGCCAATGGAGAAAACTGTATAAATATAAATTTTTAAAAAGGGGAATAAAAAACAGGTTTCCATCAAATAAATCTTTTATGATAATTTACTCAGTCACTGGTGTTCATCTGTAGTAAGTATAGTCTGCAAGATCTCTGTTTACCGGGTGCGAAGCGTCCACATTTATTTCCCCTGGAGGAGGCTATAAACTCTCTGTAAGTCCAGGAATCTCCCTACTGACTGATGACAGTGATAGTGAGGTAAGTCATTGAAGTTATCCTTAACTTTTCCTTAAGGTTTGTCATCTTTTTTTTCAGGAGACGAAGCTTCAAGTGAGAACAAAGAGCTGTAGGTGAGGGAGGAGAGAGCAGTGGTGGGAGAGTCAGATGAAGAAGAGGAGGAGTAAGAGGCAGATGATGTGGAGATGGCAGAGAGAGCAAGCAGGGTGTATAAAACCCAAAGAGCAGACAAGGAGACAGGGTCGGGAACAGCACAGATGAGTGCATTTGAACAACCATGTAGTCCAGCTTCTTCAGTCCGGCCCAGTGTGGTTCAGCCACAACCAGTATCTGTGGTCAGTGAGCTTCTTATTAATTTGATTGAGTAACTGATTTTATTTCCTATTTTATTTCACAGTAAGGAGGTCCTGGGTTTGAATCCATTGGCCGGCTGGGGCCAAACTGCGTCTAATGTTTACATGTTCTTCCCATGCAATTATGCATTCTCTCCCAGAGTCCAAAGTCATGCATGTTCTATACGTGTAAGCCCTGCCATAGATTTGCAACTAGCCCTAGGTTCAGCCTGCCAATTGCAATGGAAAATGACAGAAATTGAACAGAGTAGAGCAGAGGAAAATCAAGCCAAGTAGGTGCAAGTGGAAATGAGAATCTTGTGCAGTTCCACTTTTTAATGTAATGCAATCTGTAGTGGGGCACAGAACACTACAAAAAAAACAAACAAACAAACAAACAAAAACACCCTGAGGTTTACTTTTAACATAGTATTCCCCACGCCTCCCTTATCCTCTTGGTTCCCCTTATGAACCCAAATTTCAAAATATCCTTTAACTTCCCCTGTAAATACAACCAAGTTTCCTTTCCGTGTTCGTGCCTACTGCAAACTATTAAATGACAAATACAATTTAAATGAAATTAAACAATTTGCCTGATTTTAGAGCGCCTAAGCTGGCCGTTAACTCTTTCCTAACAAGGCCTTCCTGCTTTTAACAGTCTGTCCAGATGAATTAGGAGGAAACGAACACGGGTCCCCCTTAAAAAGAAAACGAAAAAAGCCCGGTCTGGGACATTTTATACTTTAACCTGCGCTGTTGTGCTCCAGCATCACAAGCTACGAATCAATACACAGTCCTTTTCCATGTAAGTCAAACTTTCCCCCCCTCTTCTTCAAGATAGCTGTCCTGAAAATCCTGAAAAAATAAATGTCCCACCTGCGTCGCCGATGGCGGGACAAAGTTTAAACACATTATCTCACAGTTAGACAGCCAAACAGGCGTTTTCATCTTATATCTGACCACATACTCACCAGACCGACGTTTAAGGCTGAAAAAAGGACCTTGTTTATCTCCGTCTACTCAGAGTGTACGGCACCACTGCAGTGGGCGTTTTGTCCGGTCCAGTCAAGCTTGTTGCTTTCAGGGTGTCCGACAGTCTGTGCGGATGGTGCTTTTGCTTGCAGCTCGTATTTTCGAGTTTCAAGAAAATTCATTACTTTGATTTGTAACAAATTGTAATAAAATAAACTCCATATATGTGCAGGTAGACACTAAAACTACAAAATGAATCAATACAAATAGCCTGCATGTTTCAAATACAACAATTATTATTTACGATGTAGGTTACAGTGAGTTCCAACAATGACCTCTCTACTCGCACGCAAAATAAAACAAAGTACATCATTTACTTTGTTGGTACAGATATTGCTGCCGAGTAAAAGTATGATTGTGTAAAAGTATTAAACAGTCTGGATAGTAACAGAAATCTGCATAATAGGCATAGCAACGGGTAGTCAAGGAAGGCTGCAGTAGTTAATCGTGTCACATAGTAGGGAGTGACAGAGAAGGAACTAACTCAATACCACTAGTCTGAATACCACAGTGCCATTAACAGCATAACCTTGGTTACAATGTAACCACAACCCCTCTGAAGAATTTTCCAATAGGGTGTGCATGAATAACCAAAGACAAAGTTAAAAAAAAAAGCATAATTTACTGTGAGCATAGCCTTGGCACATTGGCTTGTTTGCATGCAGGTTCTATTCATTTCTATTACTACAGTAATACAGTACTGAGTTGGATAAATCTGATTAATAATTCTAGTCATGCCACTTAACACATTTCAATTTGCTCTTCATAATGTGAAGTTGACTATGAAATTATTGAACAGAGCAACTCTGTGACCTCAAAGAGAAAAATGGAAATTTGGTATTTCAGGAATGAGCCTATCAGCATTAATTTGATTGTCTAGAATTTGGTTTTTTTTTTACAATTCAGCAATAATTTAATCACCAAAGAATACAAAAAAGCAGGGAAAAATAAAGAGATAAAACTGTAAAAAGACGTAAACACCATGGTAATTCTGGTACCCACTTATATCAATGTTAACAACATAAAAACTACCTTACTCCTATGTCGCTTCTGTTGCTTTACATCCCTGTCCAACCAGTGTGTTCAGTGATGAGTTTTTATTGTAATGATAAATCTTTATCACAACAAGGCATCCTTTTCTGAGCAAAATAGACTCTGCAGTGGGCTGTTTCCTCTATTTCCATCTCAGTAATTCAATGTGCTTGCAAGCTATTAGAAATAGATGGTGGCTGCAGGCCTCGGCAGTGGGCACCTGGACTGGCGACAGTCAGTCTAAGAAAACAGCATTACTTAGCGGAGGATGTCATGAATCAGGTCAGGTTTTCCCCAATAAATATTGTCTAATCAGAGTGTGATAAAACAGGCCATCATCGTCCCATGGCTAGCAACTTGGAGCCTGTTTTCCACTTTCTCATAGGTGAGACATGGCAGAATAAACAGAAATCTGGCTTAGTCTTAAGCCAGCTCTTTTCAGTGCCACACCAGTCCCTCTGTGTCCAGTCCCATTCTGCTGGAGTTACTTTATCACCTTTCATGGTTTTGTAACCCACTAAGCTCTCCAGTTCTTTCTCTCACAAAGGGGTAGGAGTAGGTCATGACTGAGTGTGCATGTCAATCACAAACAGGTTAAGGGGAAAGCAAACATTGTGTGCACTGGTGTGTGCATGTGTGATTATTGCATCCATTCATTTAAATTTCACATTCTTCCTAACCAATTCTTAGCACCAGTTGCTTATCTAGCCTTCTATTCAAGTCATAAAGAGAAGACAAGAAATTTAAAAAACAAGAAATGATACTTGTTTAAAGAGCTACTCAGATCCTACTTCTTATGGCTGACTTCTTGTACCCAGACTGCCACGTGCTGCAGTGTCTGCAGTACAATTCCGGCAGATTATAGGTGCCATATTGCAAGAGATAAGAAACATCAAGAATCTTACAGAGTTTTATCAGCTTGTGCTAACCTCGTTGCTATTTTTCTTTGATGGATTAGGAAAGGTCAGGATGAACTACAGGATTTCCTGGACCTGAACTAAGCGGCTGCAGTAGATAAAATAAGAAATTGTTACAGCGAAAGCTTAAGGGACAAGTCTTCCTGCCTCACAAGACACAAGGATACGCACAAAGAACTAGAGGACTAGAGAAACACAAGCACAAAGAAGTAGAGAAACACAAGCAGTGAAAGCAATCTGTGTGTGGGAACTCTGGGACAATGTCAACAGATGGAACTGAGCATACTAAGCAGAGCAACACCATGTAGCATCAGCTGACAGATTCACAACGGAAACAAGGGAGGTTGGAGTAGCCATCGAAAACTATAATTAATCCCAGAGCGTGTTTTTCTTTTCTTTTTTGTTTTGTTTTGTTGAAGGCACTCGAGATTTTTAATCTTTACCATGGAAAATGTCTGCACACCTTATTCTAGCTTTACAAACCATCTCAGTTGTCCATCAGCTAGCTGGCCTGCGATTCTCTTCCAAGTAAAAATCACAGCTATCAGTATGAACACTTCTCCATACATGCATTTTCCCAAGAGGACGGATCCGAATGATTTGAGTGATTCGCACACGTTCCATCTAGCGCTCTCTGGAGGCTAACACCTGTGGGTTTGAGCCATTGACTGTTTGAGCAAACGGTCTCAACACCTTTACAAAGACAAACAATACAATTCCTTAATTTAGTACATTTTACTTTATCCTATATCAGTATAAGGTTTTAACACGTAACCAATTTACTTTAGCCTATAATTTAGAACTTTGGGGGGGGGTTAATCCATAATAAATTTACCTACATCAAACCCCAAAACGAGCTTCCCAGATCTTATCTTTTTTTTTTTGCACTCTTAAATTATATATATTCTTAATGCGGCTCACACCAATTTTAATGTCATGAAAGGGTTAAAAAAAATTAAGAGGCGTATCGTAAGTGACCACTGGGGGAGAGCCGCTTCTGGACGCCAACGTGTTGAAACGAAACTTAAGTAAAACCCCTCAAAGAAAACTGTTTTTTAAATAGAGCACGTTTGCTTTCTATTTGTCGCAGCTTTTATTAATCAGAAACTTGAGACTTTGCAGGTATGGTTACTTTACTGGTTTCTTACACAGTCTGAGCAGTTGGTTCAGTCCACTGAGTTGAATTGCGGGTTATTAGTATTCATTTATTTGTTGTATTTCGCTCTTGTGCAGATATGGCAACTGCCAGCAGTCTGTTGTCAGAGGAGATGTTCTTATGCTGCATCTGTTTGGACGTGTTTACCGAGCCAGTGTCAACCCCGTGTGGCCACAACTTCTGCCGCCCGTGTATCCACAAGTATTGGGACTCTAGTGACGTTTGTCAGTGTCCATTTTGCAAAAGGACATTTTCTTCGAGACCTGAACTCAACGTCAACACTACCATGTCTGAGTTAGCGGCTGAGTTTGGAAAGCTGGTCCAAGTCAAAGTGTCAACTTCAGACCGAGAGCTCCCAGAAGGAACAAATGTTCTTTGTGATATCTGCACCGGGATGAAAGAAAAGGCCGTTAAGTCTTGTTTGATGTGCCTTACTTCTTTCTGTGTAGTCCACCTGGAGCCTCATCAGAGAGTTTCAGTGCTTAAGAGCCACAAACTAATCGATCCTGTGATTAATCTTGATGAGAGGGTGTGCAAAATGCACAACAAGATAACAGAACTGTATTGTAGGACTGACAAGGCCTGTGTTTGTGTGCTGTGTTTCAAAAGCGATCACAAGAGTCACAATGTCATCTCGCTAGAGGAAGAGTATGAGGCTGTGTTAGCAAAAAATGATGAGGTAATGGCAAATATCCACAAGATGATACAATCACGATGCGATAAGATAGATGCGATTGAAAAGTCACTTGATGCCAGCCAGAAAGAAGCCGATGAAGAGAAAGAAGCCAGTGTGCAGATGTTTACTGACTTCATTCGCTCGATTCAGAAGAGTCAAGCTGATGTTGTTGAGGTGATTGAAGAGAGGCACAGAGCGATGAAACAAAAGGCTGAAGGTTTTCTGAAAGAGATGAGGATGGAAGTTGCTGAGCTTAAAAGCAGAATAAGCCAGCTGGAGCAGCTGTCACGATCTGAGGACCATCACTGTCTTGTCCAGAACTTCTCAAGCTTACGGGCTCCTTCAAGTAAGGACCGGTCCAATGCTGGTGTTTACAGCAACTTGTCTTTTAATAAAGTGAGAACAGCCATGGCTCAGGTGAAACAAACAGCTGATATAATTTTGGAGAAAGTTCCAGAGATCAAAATGAAAAGAATGAGAGAACATGCAGTAGACTTGACTATTGATCCCGACACAGCACATTGCTCACTTACCATTAGTCAAGACCGAAAACAAGTTGGAACTGCAGAAAAACAGAATCTTCCAAAAAATCCAAAAAGATTTGAGATGTATCCAGAAGTCTTAGCAAAGGAGGGCTTCACAGGGGGGAAGTTTTACTTTGAGGTGCAGGTGAAAGATAAGAGTAAGTGGACTGTTGGCGTGGTGAGAGAGTCTGTAGATAGAAAGGGAGACACACGTCTATCAGTTTCAGATGGTTATTGGACCATCGGGTTAAGTGAGGGCAAGTATTATGGATATGAAAATTCAGCTGTTATATTGGTACAGTTAAAAAAGCTTCAAAAAGTGGGCATCTTCGTGGACTACGACAAGGGAGTGGTTTCTTTCTATGATGTGGATTCCAAGTCACACATCTACTCTTTCAGTGGCTATCGCTTTAAAGACAAACTTTATCCATATTTTTGCCCTCATTATAACACAGACAAAATGAATGTTGCCCCTCTTGTCATAACACCTGTACATCACAGATTAGCTTAGTATGATCCTCATTTGCAGAAGACAAACTAGGCTTCAACATTTCCATAATCAGTATGTAAAACTATATCTGCTTGGAAGTTCATCACCAGATCATTCTATGTGTTTGCCGTCTTTGTCTAATGTACTATGCTATGATGTTAATATATTTCAGCTAAAATTACCAGCTGACTTCATAATGTAAGTAGGATAGACTTTGACAAGATATTTGTATGTATATTTTTGTATTTAGACAAGGTTACATGCAGGCGAATTTAAAAAAAAAAAATTACACACACACACAGAAATACATGCCAGACCTTTTGCTTTTTGTTATCAAATTCAAATTAAAAGCTTTATCAGATTCACAGAAAGAGATGATACTAAGATGAGAAGATTAACTCTCAGTTTAAGCTGTTTTTTGTAGTTAGCAGTAACTGGAAATGAATTGATTTTATGTATTTGAAAAGTTACCTGAATAAACTTCACCTCAAGACTGATTTTCTCATATTGTTCCTTTATATTGCATTCCTCATAGTTTAGGCAGAACTCATATAAATACAAAAGGAGTGTAACGGCTTCCCTGTGCCATTTTGACCCATTGAATGCACTACATTGCTTCAAAAGATTACAGTGGCTTTGGTTAAGTGTGTGCATAAGACATAACACAACTTGAAGATGATATAGAGATATTTAATTCTTCATATAATTACAGGCTAAAGGTCAGTGTCGCCGAGCCTCGCTGCTACCCTGCTTGGAGTCTTTAACACTTTAGGTTTATGATGGAACTCGCTGCGACTCACGTCTTTGTCACGCTCACAGCTTTGTGAGACTTATAAGTCAATCAATAGTATTCTGCCCACTGCTTTCACTCCTGACTCCTGCCTGTGTGCTCCTGCCCCCACACTGATTTGTGTGCATGATAAAGTGGATGCGCTTGCATTATCCTCAAGTGTGATGCGTGGGCTGATCTTCTTAAGCACCACTGATGGAGCTCACCCATAACTGTGACTAAAAACCAGTGTGTTTCATTGTGTGTTGTCTGTCATTAATGGGAAATGAGCCCATTTTTCCTTGCTACAAATGTTTTGTTATGTTTTTCAAAGTGGGTTACTATTAACTGAATCCTTTGATAGAGTATGAAAAGACTGAGGGAGAGTAATGAAAGCGGTACGGATACCTCTGGAAATGGAAATCAAACATTGTGCAATGAAAGATATTTTGACATACTTTCTTGGAAGAAGGCAGCGTGAATATTACATTGCAGGATTTAACTGCATTATTCTCTCACTAACATGATCTTCTATCCCATCTTAAGCAAAACATATACTTTTTTCTTTTAGTCGTATGTCTAAAAGACTGAGGAGGGCCAACTGTGTAATCAGGTGTAAAATAGAAATAGAATGATTTAGGGTCAGCTCTACATGAGGTTGATGTGAAATACAAGGGGAGGAATCTCTGACCTGAAACAACACCAGTGAATATCGGTAGGCTACTGGGAAGGAAAAAAAGTCTAAAAATGGTCAATCACACTGCTCTCTATTGATTCAAAGTACACATTTGTTGTGCTTAGAGCCACAACACAATCAGTGATGACACAGCAGGTGTTTTGACTTTTGCAGCCACTAAAAAAAGCATCTGCTGTGACTTCTGATTGGGATGAAGAAAGAGGGCAGCATGCTTAAAAGTTACAGGAGTTACAGTAATGTACAAAAGTCTTGAGCCACTCTTCATTTCTTTAGATTTTGATTCAACAGAGCCAGACTTGCTTGTCATTTTTTTTATAATGGTCTGGAATAGGGATGCAACGATACCAATTTTTTCAAACCGATACGATACCGATACTTGGATCTGAGTACTTGCCGATACTGAGTACAAAAATTGATACTTCTACCACACACACACACACACACAAATGCAATGAATTGGAAGAAAGGTTTTATTTTATTCTCTGCCGATAAAAAATAAAATCGTAATAAAAATGACCACAAAAAAAATTTCAAGTGAAAAATAAGCACTTCTGTTAAATTATTGCAGAGCGTCCACATTGTAATTTAACAAAATATCACTGAGCTACTGGGCACTGTCTCAAGCTTTCAGAATAATAAATAAACACTTCTGTTTGGAATAAAAAATATACAAATTAGGTTTGAGAGTAAAATAAAC